TGGTTCTTAGAAGATTCATGGTATTTAAAAAAGGGAACTCCAGTTGGACCAGTAGGGTCTCACAAAGCAGAAGAAATTCTTTGGTGTTTTGTTCCATCATTAATCTGAATCATAGTATTTTCAGTCTAGAACAAACAATCACTTGTTTCTAAAAAAAAACCACCACATTTCTTTCTGTTCAAATACTTTGAAGATAGTGACTAGCTCACAAGGACAGACTGTCATAGAGTAGTGCAAACTGGCCTTCTGTTGCTAGAACCGAAAGAAATAGATCAAGTGCATCATGCACTGAATCTACCACTCGTGCTTAAAATGCATTTGACTACTGTGCTGTAGCCATTAATTCAACATCTCCAGAACTGTTAACACCCACAAAACCATTCGTCTATCTAGCAGACAGAAGAATAAGCTGTGATCCTGGAAGAGGTGCCATGTACATGGATCTTTGTGCCTCCAAAGGCTGCTGGAGTCTGCAGGGGTGTTGAAAAAAATGCCTGAAACTCTCTGAACCCTCGCACAGAGTTTAATGCTTTAGGCAGAGTCAGAAATGTGCAGGAGTTTAGAAGCCATTAAATAAAAGCAAGTAGGATGATTAATTTGAAATCCAGTCTCTAAGGTGTACTGGACAGAGTTGCAAAATACAGACAATGACTCCATTTTCTCTATCTGTAGAAGCCATAAGGAGGTTGGGAAAAAAAATAAATTGAAGGGGAATCTTTTTTGGTTATACTAGTTGTTGGTAAAAATTGACAGCCTATGCCAAGCCCTAAGAGCTACTCTATCCACTTCAAGTCCATGGAGCAGAGACCTATTCTTTATAGATGTGCTTTGCCTCAGTAGTATTGTTAGAATAAAAAAAGATACTGGTTTGAAACAAGTTTGTCAGGTGCCTGGAGAAGGCAGAACTGAAATGATGTTTAACCACTGAGAATGTAAAATATAAGGAGAAAGAAACCCACATTCTTGAGAAGTTTTGAGGTCACCACAGAAGAACACAAAAATAAGTTTTGTACTCACAGAAGGTTGTATTTTAAAGAGAGGAAGAAAGCAGAAGAAAAAAAAGAGGAAGGAAAGGAAAAGAAAAAGAAAGAGAGGGAGGGAAAAGAGGAAAAGACAGGAAAGGAAAGGGAGGAAAGAAGAATGCGAAAAAAAGAGGAAGGAAAAGAGAGGAGGAAAAGAAAGGAAGTGAAGAAGGGAAGAAAGGAAGAGAAAAGCTAAAGGGGAAGGAAGAAAAAAGGAAGGGAGGAAAAGAGAGAAAAAAGGAAAATGGAAAAAAGGGGGATTACATAATTCATACTTTCTGTACAGTATGAGAGATTTAAGAAAATATGCTACTAATTTAAGCTATTGAAAATGTTTAGCTGGGTTTTTTTTCCAGAAATTATTTAGGGGAAATTTAATATGCTCTGTTAATATAAATATGAAGGGGATGATGAGTTCAACTAACTACACAGATGGAGAGGGATTATAGAAGTGTAGGATCTTTGTTTTGTTTTAAGTAATTTTATTATAGCTTTTCTAGCTATTTCAGTATTAGCATTACAGAAACAGTACTGTATAGTACTTCTGAGCTATTTATAGCCACACAGGTATTACTGGCTAATGCTTCGAGTACATGTATGTAATTATGCAGTCTGACTTTAGTTTTTTTTAGTTACTGTCAGTAAAGATCATTTTTTTCCTCTATGTTGATTTCCTTTAATTGGCTGGTGCTGTGTTTGGTTTTGTGAGCCCCCATACCTCAATTAATGCCACTTATTTCATTAGTAACTTTATACAGTACCTAGAAAATGTAAAATACTTCACTGGAAATGAAAAGTACAATTCCAAGGATGGAACGGTGTTTGCAGAGGGGGATTTAAGTGATTTAATTTCTTTTAATTGTTACATAATTAATTTTGTTTCTACCTTGTATAAAAGATAAATGTTTTGTCAGCTGTGCTGCATTAATTTCCATGTCTTAGTCTGACTCATGTAGTCCAACTAGTGTAACTAATTCCTTCTTTCTAGGACTTCATTTTACTCCCAGCCTTACCAGTCCCTCTCTCATGTATTGCCAAAATAATGGCAGATTTTGCCATGTGTCGTGTCCTTTATATGTCATGCCTATATATTACATGTGGGATATGAACGCTATTGACACTGATTAATTATTTCTGATAAAGTATCTCAAACTGTATTGAATTCTTATTGGATTATCTCTGCTGTGCGGAGGCTGACAGGACTTTCAGCGCACTAGGTTTCACAGCGACGGCTCTCTGTTTTACAGGGCTCCGTGTAAAATAAAATGTGTGGAGCCGCAGCTGAATTTCTTTTACCTCCCGAGAGGAGGAGGGCAGTGCGGATGCCAGCTCCTAAGGGGAATGCTAGCAGTAGTCCCAAGGGGGAGAACTGAGCTGGGCAAGTGAGAACTCTGTCCATCCCCTGGCTTTCTGGCAGTGTTGGGTGCGCTGTCTTACAGCCTTAGTGTGCTACTCTCCTGAAATCATGCACAGACGTTTCAAGGGCTCAGGACAACAGCGAAACAGCCAGAGCAAATTTCCTCGCCTTGTTTTGTCCAAGAAGATTGTTCCCCTCAAGACAAGTTTATTTCATCTCCTTATCTTTCTTAGTTCTTTGACTTCGTTCGAGACTTATTCCAAATAGTATAATAATGCAAACACATATTTTTTAATGTGTAGAAACCTGAAATAGCTGTTCAGCAAGGTTTCTATGAACAAATATTATAGTACCTTTTATCATCTAACTTTATAGTTCATCTTAATAAAGGAGGATTTCACTCTGAAATTCTTAGGCAGATCTATGCTTGATGGAGTTGCAGTTCTTTCTAAGCAGTTCAGCTCCCTCTAAGCAGTAACTTGTGATCAAAAGGATGGTTTTCATTTTTCTATCTGCTCTTTTTAAGGGAATCTATTTCCCCACAGCCTCAGCAATGACCACTACAGCAAAAACACAGTGTACAGAGTCAACTTCAGTCTGACTGTAACTCAGTAGAATTATACCAGGATTGATTTTTTCCGTCCTCTGCAGTTCCTCCATGTGTTTGAACACACTGGAAAAGATGAAAATGCAATAAATAGTCTATATTTAGGCTATATTCTATGCTTCTTTGTATGATGTGTGATGACAGCATACTTTTGCAGTTTATGAGATGAAATAGGTCTGCTTTATTCTTGTCAAGAAAAACAATCTTGTTTATATTGATCTCTCACTTGTAGCTTTGAAATATGGAAACTACTTATTTCAGAAAACAAGTAAAAGCTGTGTAGATCCTGTTCTTATATGCCCTCTGCTTCTCTTGGGATGTGAAGGAGTCACAAAGAAAGGATCTGAAATGCACCAACCAAAATGGAGTGAATATCTTTGTTGTTCTCTTGCTTCTTTGTCAGCGTGGGCTTCCTGCCTAGCTGGAATGAACTACTTTTAGGAGCATTCGAAGAAGTGCAGTATACATAGGTAACATGGAATAAGGAAAACCAGGTCTTGAATACTAAGCTTTTGATAAGAATACTTCACTTTTCAGGTTTGCTGCCCATTTAACCAACTGTCTGGATTTATCGTGATACTATATGGTGTTCTGAAATAAAAACAATATGGCTTGATTTTATTTTCAGAAATATGTATGTGTCAGGAGAAAACCATGGAATGTGTAGACTACAAGACACTTTTTCTAGAAACAAGAAAAATGTGGAAGTGCTTTTTTTTCTTTTTTAAATTTTGAGTTATGCTATATGTGTGGTAAAACACCAAGAGGGCATAGATTTGACAGCTTCCCCCTGTGAATAGTTATTCAAAGTATGTGTCTCATGGCACATGTTCTTGCTGAAGAGCAGGCAGCTGTTTCCATCACCACCCTAAAACCTAAGAATTTTGTGCAACAGGTAGTACAAATGATAGTTCTTGCATTCAGCAGTAGATTTACCGGCTTTTAAATGTGGAAGGACCTTAGAAGTATACAGACATTAAGAGAGAACTTTTTTTACAGTGAATTTTATCCTTTCTTACATATTGTTTTGGCTGTTTACATCAGGTTTGTGATACTTAACCTAGCTTAAATAAAATCTCCAAATGCATACATGAAGAGAAAGAAATTTGGTAATAGACTATTCTTCAGTCAAGCAAACAAAAATAAAATAGCACAGCTGGAAGCCAAAGCCAGCAATATGCAGACTTGAAACGAAGTACAAATTTTCAAGTAAGGGCATTCATACCTGGAATATTATATATAGTTATGTACCTTAATAATGGCATTTTAAAAAATTTAAATTGTCTATTTAACATCAGTAAATAAATACAGTATTTATAATGCTGTCACATTCTGCAGAATTACCTCTGATGTTTTCCAAACTCACTCCTAACTACTTTACTGCTATGCTGACCGTAGATAAAGTAAAACAGTTGGATAAGAACTGCTATCCTGTACCAAAGACGTTCTCAGCCCTCCGTAAAATTGCTCCAAATACAGTGCTAATCATTTCTGTGCAAGAAATAGATATCCAGTAAAGGATGGCAAATGACATTCGGAACAGCAGTAGGTGAACAAGGACAATCTACTCATGATTCGGTGCAGCTAACATTACATTTAAAATATCAAATAAAACCAATTCAATTAGGAACACACCAAGTAGGCAAGTTGTGTGCTCCCCTCCTTCAAAGTCATTCTTCTAAAGAAAATTACAACAAATTTCCATTGGGGACTATCTGTGATGCTCAGTTAGTGCTGGGCCTTGCTCTTAAAGGCCATAAATCATTTCCCCTTTCACACTTCATCCTCAGCAGTCCCATTTCAGGCAGCAAGAAACCACCACCAGAAATCTTAGTGCCCAGGCATCCCAGGAGAAAATGCAGAGCTTTATTCTCTAGGTCATTCTCTTTGTGTGCTGCTTTGTTTGGAAGTAAAGTACTTCTGTGTGTATGTGGCTACGTATAGAGGACATGTGTGCTCATCTAGGTACCAGCTCAAATTATTATTATTATTTTTGTATTTATTCTTTTTAAAGAGCTTGATTCAACCACTGTTCTCTGCGAACGAATCTGACCTTGTAGAGCTGCAGCATGCAAACGTCTTGGAGAAGGGCAGCCAACGTACAAAGGCTGCATTGAGTGTGTGGGCCGGCGGGAATGCTGGTACCGGGCAGCTCTCTAAAGAATGTTCTTTTGGCAGGAGCAGCCGTGCTAAAAATGAGGGGGGAAAATGAATTAAAAATGTAGAGCTGGCCTGCAGTTATGAAGTGATAAGAGAAGCTGGCTGTTCAACATGAGCTGCCAGTTGTGTATTCTAGGTCCTTGCTATTCTCAGGCCCTCCTACAGCCGTGGCCCTGACCAGTGTTTTGATATAGCACAAAGTGGCTGTTTATTGCTATTGACTGCTGAGGCCTCCGCTCCGAAATGCGTTCTGTCAACAGAATGTAAGTGGACTTGGCATTTTAAAGCTCGGCTGCTGCAGACGCGTAGTTTTCTTGGAATTGCCATGCAGCAGGACCGGTGTTGCAGTCCTCAGCTCAAACTGAAAATGTTGCACAGGAAGACGTATCATGTGAAGGTCAGATTTACCTGAGATCCTGAGGGGTTTGTGGGGTTTTTTTTTCCTCATCAACACAGTAAAGATATCTTCTCCTTGCTTTGTAGCCTGTTGAAGGCTAGACTTCTAACTTTCTAAATTTTGTTCAGTATGCTCTGTATGGAACAAAGGTCGTTATTCAGTGCAAATGGCCGCCATGTGAGAGGGAAACGCGGCTGTGTATACAGTACAAGATACTGCCGTAAAAGGAGCAGTCAAAATCTGCGCTAACTCTGTGTTGCACTGAGGGTTTTTCCACTCTTTTGGAAGGCGATAATCTCTATGATTTTGTAAGAAATCACATGTATTGTTTTCTATTGCTTCCATAGGAACTACAGGCAGAAATCGATGCTCACACTGACATCTTTCACAACCTGGATGAAAACGGGCAGAAAATCCTGAGGTCCCTGGAAGGCTCTGAGGATGCAGCTCTGTTGCAGAGGCGGCTGGATAACATGAACCTCAGATGGAGTGAGCTTAGGAAGAAATCTCTGAACATTAGGTACGACCTGAACGTAAGCGAAAGCCTACGGTTGGTGTGTAAGATGGAATGCTGTGTTTTGCTAGTAAAAAGGTTTAATTTTGTTCCTGGTACCACTATTTTTGTCCATTTTGAAATGATTTGTGCTATTTTGAATGTTGGCTTAACTTTGTAAGAATGATTGGGTTTTTTGGTGTGAAAATGATAGTAAAGGATTAGGATTTGAGGCATATGATGAGGTTTTGTAATTACAGGAGAGATTAGCATATTTAAACAGTAACTGTACACCTCTAAATGTAGGCTTTTTCTAGAGCTGGGTATGACTTATCGATGAGTCATGAAAGAAAGGGATTAAACAACCTATGTTTATGAGAGGCTTTATTTCTAAGGCTGCTATTTCCAGTGCAAAGCTAAGAATAGCCTTACAAATGAGAAAACAAGTTATTTAAGATTTTAGCTGTTGTCTGGAGAGTGGACAGAATTACTAAATAGAATCTAGAGGTAAACCAAACTTCTAGGTAGTGTTGTGAGAAGAAAAACTTCTGTTTGCAAGGAAAAATATAAAAAATGGTAATGTTACAAATGGTGAAGTGGAGGTACAGGCTTCGATGGGCTGATTTCTTTTCAAAAGAAATTGTCCAGGAATTTCTCTTCAGAAACACAACTTTTACAATCAGCAACCCAACTCTGTTGCGTTCAATCTTGGGCGTTTTTTCATTTGCTCACTTGCTGTGTGTTGGTGGTAGTTCAGAGGGCAGCAAAAGGCAAAAGTGTTTTTCAAAGTAATGTATGAACTATTAGCTTTTTTCAGCTCAGGCCCTGAGGGAGGTCAGTCTGTGTAATGACAAAAGCCATCTTCATAACATCATTCATTAAAAGCAAATGAAGGCTATGAGGTTGAAAAGATTAGTAGCTAACAAAAAATAGAGATACATTCCTTTTTTTTTTTTTTTCCCCCTGAGGAGCATAAGAGGAGGGATATAACCCTTCAAGGTCTCTCTCAGATTTTTTTTCTTCACATGCCTTTTGCCCGTGAACTTGCCCAAATGCAGCGATGTTCAAGATAAGAAAAACAATCCATTGGCTAATATTAGTAATTAAATATATGGGACTTTTTATCTTTCATTTTTTGCAGTTTAATGTATCAGTGCCACTAATTGAGTCAGAAATAGTAACCCTAGTTATATCACAGTGACTTCTTGCATTAAACATTCAAGGCAGCATCCTTTGATTAGAATAAGAAACAATTCTTAACTTCTAAAACATTCACTTCAAATGTTGCTGGCCACCAGATTGGATGAACGGGCTATTCTCAGTCTGCCTGCTTGGAGCTATTTCTTTGCATCCCACAGTATGGAATGGATTTCATCATAACTACCAATGCTTACACAAAAGAGGTATGAGAGCAGACATACGAAATGTTCCCCAGGCATCAGTCCCGCAAGTCTCCTTATTCAGGATAAGTTTTAGACTGCTGAAACAGAAGACCCATGCCGTCGCTCAGCTTAGGTGGGCATTCTTTTCTAAATCCGTTAGATCAAATATATGGTAGATACCAAGAGAAGCCAAGTTCACTTCCATTATTACCTACCTTTCATTCTGGTAATTCAGCACAGTTTATCCTAATAAACACTTTCTTTCTTATAACTCATTTTTTAAAACTGTTTTCCTGTTAATCTGTTTTGCCTGCACATGCTTGAACACAGTTATGAATATATGAGTGTATGCATATAATGTATGCTAGCATGCACATATGTAAACATACATTCCCGAAGCTGAAGGAAGGGCAGAGCAAAATGGGTTCTGGGAAAACATTCACCACACTGGGGAAGGTCAGAGCACAGCAGCAGTAGCAAAACTGCTTTGGGTCACTCTTTTTGCACAATTTCCCTGTAAACCCGGACCTGGGGAAGCAGGGAAGAAGCAAAGACCCTGGTGTTTGCCTCCAGTTGCTGCCCTTCCCGGGAGAGGATGGAAGCTTGCATTTGCCACGATAAACATGGGAGACAGGAGTTAACCTGGATCAGAAACTTGACTCCTTGGGTAGGTCCCCTTCAAAACCCCTGTGGTCCTTGCTCTGGCTGTTGCCTCCTGCAGCGCCCCGTACAACATCCCTGCTTCTCTCCCCTTCTCTCACTGCTTTCAGAGGCATCCTGGGGCTTCCCCAGCCTTGGCTGCCTGCGGGGCTGGCCTCCCCCAGCATCGCCTGCTCCCAGGCAGTTTTGCGCCAGCCCACAGCTGCCCTGGGAGAGCAGAGATCAAAAGGCAGCATGGTCTATGTGTGTCCCTCCCACATAGCCTTTAAGTTTGAAAAAGGAGAATATTTTCCATCAGCTTGCATACCAGAGCAGCTGAGCTCTCTGTCAGTCTATGGCTAATCTATCCCATTCCTTTCTCTTTCCTTGCCACTCCAATTACCTGGTGTAAGGGGTTGGGAAGAAGACAGGATCCGTAGAGCATTTCAAAGAAATACAACCGTCCTTACCTTCAGCAATTCCTCATTTCTGTATCCAGACTAAGTAATAAGGTCTGCAAAACACTGAGTCTGTATTTATTACGTTTCTTTTATAGACCATCCTATATGAGGTATAGGAGTAGAATTTTCACTATCAGAAGAGAAGTGGTTTTATGTGCAATCACTGAAAAAGAAGAGAAATGTTAGGCGAACAAAGCTGGAAGTCAAACAAAAAATACATGAAATAAAAGAAAATGTTTTTATTTTCCAGTACATTTTATCACTTTGCTGTTATGTAATACTGCTTTTGGTTTGACTTACTAAGAGGAATTCTTATGTTACCTGGAAGTGAATTAGGAATTTCTTCCCAATCAACAATTAAAAAATAGCATATTTATAAGCCTAGAAGGACAAAATTATAGTGTGCTTTATCTATGGTATAAACAAAATTGAAGGTTTGATCAGTCCAGTGATGTTTCAGTCACATATTCTCTCTCCAAAGAAAACAGTTGCTGAAAATTAGTAGCTTAATACTTGACCCCTGTATTAAAAAACCCCCACATTTACACATACACAGAGGAAATATTTAGAAGATGTCCTTATGGTGGAAACCTTGTTTGCACAAAGTAGTATTCTATCTCTTAATTTTTCCAATGATTCAATTAGTTTCATTCCCACCTCTGATCAAATGGCACAGACTTTTGGGTAGTGTGAGGGGATTCTATTGGCTTCAGCAATTTCCTCATGACTTTTCAGGGAAAGGATGGCATTTGTTCTCTTATAGGTAAGCAACCACATGAATCTGATCTGAGTTTGAATGGTTTGTGTAATAGTTTAAAGAAGTGCTTGCTCTTCTCTGAGTTGAAAACTGCTCTCTACATTTTACTTCATTAATCTCCTAGTAGCCCTAAGTGATGACTAAGTTACTGTCATGCTAGTCCTGCATAATATTTGTGCACATTTAGTGAGACTGACAATTCAACACAGCTATTACTCACTGCTGAAGAGGAAAACAAAAAAAAACCATACTCAAACTCAAGAGATGGGAAAGGAACGGATGTTTCAGGCCAGGAGCGTGGAACCAAATTTAAATCAGTGTTGCCAGAATCTAATTCAAAGCTACTGAAGCTATTTAAAAATCATTAAGTTAATGAAACACTAGGATCTTGCTCAGTAAATAAGCTTGTACAATTTGATTTTTATTTTCACTCTGCCTGAATATATCTTATATTTAACACATGCTTTCAGATCCCATTTGGAAGCCAGTACAGATCAGTGGAAGCGTTTACATCTCTCTCTTCAGGAACTTCTGGCATGGCTGCAATTGAAAGAGGATGAATTAAAACAGCAAGCACCCGTTGGCGGAGATCTTCCCACTGTGCAGAAACAGAATGATATTCATAGGGTATGATTTTTTAAAAATGATCTTTCAGCCATTGGTTTTTGTTTTGCAGGTTAGTGCTGCATGAAACAGTCCTTGTTGGAAAAAGTAAGATACCCTTTAAAATACATTTCAGAGACAATGAAAACTGAACTTCTTGTATGGGAGTACTAGCTGCAATTTTCAAACATAGCTTCAAAAATCAGCCTTTTGGAGAAGGGAATGTTTAGTACCAGCTGCTCGGCTTTTTTGAAAAGCAACACAGCATTTTCATAGACTTATCACAGAGAGCTAGTTTTCATGGCCAGAACAAATACTAGCCTAATACTGTTTGAGGATTAAATAAGTAGTTCTGAAAATTTTTCCAGATCAGGCATTTAAACTTCATGTATACTTTTTGAAACCCTTTTTTGCTATTGATTTTTGGGAACGTTTATGGAAAGAGTAGCTGATATCAACCCTAATGCATAACTGTATGCATCATGAAACTATTGTGATAACTGACTGTAACTGTCTGCGGCTCATACTAGTTTCATCGCAGAATTCTTATGGAAAGGCAATAGCAGAGTGTCATATGGGGGCTGTTCTGGGCTCAACTTTGTAGTAAAAAGGAACCTAAATCCCACACTTGTATGGGAAGTTGTTTCTTTTTAAAAGCCACTGAATGAACAACCCCCAAAATAACTGAATAATGCTGAAAAATGCTGAATAATTCTTCATACAAAGATTCACACAGGTTTTTTTGTGGTAAAGCTATGCTTTAAGTATGTTTCCTGTGTTGAATCAAGTTCACACCCATCTGATGCTAACCTAATGTCTGCTATCAGGTAAACAGTTTTTAATTTGCTATGTCATTGCAGTCTATTCAGGTGTGAATGTGAAATCACAGTTCTAGTACCTCAGTGGTGCTTTTTTAGTGGTGCCATAAGGAAACCCATTAGGAAACTAGCGTCCTGCTAAAATAAATCTGAAGAATTGCTGAATGAAGCAGTAAATGGGGAGAAACTTGTTCTGAGAAGTAACAGGGAACTGCGTGAAAGGTAACTGGGGTAGCACACCCAGCTTCAGCAACTCCTATCACTTACGAACTCCATAAAAACTTGTTTAGCCCTTATGATAAGACTTCTGTTTCTTTTGTTAGTTTTTGATGAAAACTTCAATCTGGGAAGCACCAGTTAATAACAGAAGTCCGTAACAGAAACCAGACCTCAACCCACTAGGACAGATCCTGATTCAGTAGGAAGTTGGGGTTTTTTATTTTTACAGAGAACAATATAAGATCAAGGGCAAGGAACCTTGCTGATATAAACAAATTGTCCTGCCATGTTTAAATGGTAAATGCATGTAGTGATTGGAAGGAACCACGTAAGCATTGATACTATGACATTTCTCTGCAGTACACTATTCCATTTATTGGAATTTACTTGGATGTGGTGTTCTAGCTCTCCTCTCCTTCATTCACATGAGTCTTTAGTTAAAATAATGACATGGGAGGTTTTGTCCTCCTGTTTGGTGACCAAGTATACTTCAGTGTGACATCTTAAAGTTATTTCAAACAGATGTATTTTCTATTGAGTAATTTAAATTGTTAGTCAGACAACTTGATACCATGAGAAGAGAATATTCCAAAACCAGTGATCATCCTCTCAAAGCATTGTGCTGCATATGTGTAACTTTCAGTCTGTGAAACTTGCCACAAAAGATATTGTTTCTGAAGTTCCTAAACTTCTGATTTTATTGCTTAATGGAGAAATGAGAAATGGTACTGTAAAATAAATTTGGGTCTGGAGTACCTGTGTTTTCTCCATTCATCAGGTAGCTGTATTATAAATATTGCTCTAACAGATTGTCCTACCTCATGCTGAAGGACACATTTAAGAACAAATAGAAGATCAAATTTGGAAAGAGAACATGACATAACTTGCTGCTTTAAGCTATTGGGAACCCTGAGTTGTGAAAAGTCTGGAAATATCGTATACAATCGGGCTTGGCTTTTGACATAGGCAAACAGACATTTGTCTACAGTATCAAACTGGTGGGAGGTGGTGGCAATATGGTTTCTCCAGGGCGTATCTTCACCTAACGGCCGAGAAAGCCGAAGAGAAAGATGAACAAAAAACATTGCACTGTTAGTGCACAGTGCTTTTCTAAGATAATATTTGCTTTGCTGCAAGGGGCAGCTTGGTTGCATTGCCTAGGTCTTCCTTCTGGAGAGGTGTTGTGTAGGGTGTGTCTTTCTCTCAAAACTTTACTTGGAACTTCTAAGCATTATTACAGAAACTGTGAGACCAAAACATCTGTGACTTTATGGAGCACCACCATCCCTTTTTACCTTTCCCTCTGTGAAAGTTAAGATGTATGAAATGCCTGAGCTTTGTCCTAGCCAGCTGTCTGTAGCAACTCCCATAAAGTAGTTTTAAAGCCTGTCCAGAACACCAGGATGAAAGAAACAATATCGATGTTGCTTTAACTCACATGACGTTAACTCAAACCCTTTATCCAAAGACAACTCTTGAGCCAAAACAAGGCTTAGAGAAGGGTTTATGTAGAATTGTTACAATAAAACTTGGGTCATCGAGTAATATTTGAGTATTTGAGAACATCACCTTTCTTCCTAGATCAAAGAAATAATTTATTCATCTACAGAAATTACTTCTCATGAAATTTTAATATTGTATATTGTTCTGTAAGCTATTCGAAAGTTTCCCAGAATTCATCATAAAGGTAACCAGACTTCAGTGATGGACTAAGTGATCTCGCTGTCACTCGCCAATCAACTGAAGTGTTTAAAACTTTTAGGGGTGAGAAGTGTTGCATAAAAGTAAGGTACCATAAAGAGGTGCAAAGTGACTTTACAAAATAGATCTCCTCACTTCTCCTTTTTGATTATCTTATCTGCCACATGCAGATATCTACAGACACAAATCTTTGGTCGTAGTGTCTAGTATCAAAGCTAGAACATTTTAGTTCCTTTTAGAAACATGGCTTCTTTCCTTCTCCTGTTCTGTAGGACTTTTGTAGTTTAATGTGAGGCCTTTCTAGTTGTAGGTATTCTGATTCCCTGGGGAAAAAAGAACAAAACCATAATCCTTGAAATCAGGTTACCCTGTCTGCTCTTCAAAGATCTCTTGCAGAGAAGAAGGAGGGAAAAACAATCAGTGCAGAACTCTGTCGACTTCAGGTTGTCTTTGACAAAATCTATGCAGCTTGGAGTTTTTCTACTGCCTTTTTTTTTCCCAGTACACTATGTACTTTCTAAAAGTTTCTTTTAGAGAAGCAGACATACACAGGCTGTATCTAAGTGAACAGCTTAGCTCATTTCTGAACATAAGAAAAATGCTTTTAAAAAGGCTTGCACCACAACTATAGAAGTATCTAGGTTAAAACTGGAGCGCAGTACTGGGAGGCTGTTTTTTTTCAGGAGTTTTAGGCCCCTACTTAAGAACAAAACTTTGCTCTCAGAGTGTTGGATGTGGAAGTAAAGAACAGCTGAATTCTGGTCTTGAGAAAAAGAATCTGCTGATTGTTCATTTTGTTCCCCTGAATGTCAGTTCTGGAAATCAGTCTTCAGTAAACAAGCTAAGCCTCTACCTGATCTGACCAATCTTTTAAATGACCCAGACTTCCAGCTTTGGTATTCCTATGTCAGTACAATATCTTTCCTTCTGTGAAGAGTTGTTTTTGCCAGATAAAGTCAGAAGTGAACCCAGGTTAGGTTTTCATTGAAGAAGAGAAAAAGACTCAGCAGGGGAACATTATTTATAAGCAGTTTAACTGATTGCCGTTGAGGAATGGCATGATGAATGCAAACACGATTTTATGCCTGAATCCTTTTTCTAAAGCGGTGTTACAAGCTGATTTTATTTTTTTTTTTCCCTTAAGGATGTAATTTAAAGAAAAACATACTTAACCTCTCTATAGTTTAGAAGACCATCTGGAATACCTCAGACTTTCATAGCAGAGATGAAAAGAGGTTGGTTCTTACCATTAGAATGCTCCTAGTTGCCAAGATTGACTTTAAAAATTTTAAGAGTAGGATTCATATGAAAATTTCAAATCCTTGAATCTATGACAGAGGAGAGCTTGAACTCAACTGAGAAAAAAGATATCCATGCAGTCAAAATAATTTTTGCGTTAGAAATGTGAGGTGCGTTTTGGACAAGGCAATTTGGAATTTATCCCAAATATACCCACATAACAGCTATTTGTTTGAAACTTACATATATAGTGGGTCATTTTGTCAATTTTTGGCATCTGAAGAAATAGTGTCTATGCCAAAGTCCTAGAATGTGTGCGTGTAGAGGGGGGAAGTTGGTCAATGATTAAAAAATACTGCTGTTCATCGAAACATTATTTAATTATCTTACAGTTTTCTTTGCTTGGTTGGGAAGCATCTTGAATTAATGTAATTGTATGCTCTCTCTTTTAAAATTTATTAATAGCAAAAATATCTGCTTTTCTAGTAACAGAGATGAATGTTAGTTTTACTAATGCAACTCTCTTCTCATTATATTTTCATCTTTCAATTTAAACAGTATGTGTTTCCATCTAAAGAGGTTTAAGGACACCCAGGAGGAGGCAGTGGAGGTTTGAGATAAGCTGATCAGTATATGCATTATTAAAATGGTGGACAGAATGCCGTTACTGCTGTAGTGTTGATGACAAATAGAGATGCTTAAATAAAGTAGTTTACTTGGGTTTTTTGTCAGGTCATACATTACGCATGTTCGATTTCCTCTACAGTCACCACGAAGTGTGGAAGAAGTTAAAGAATTCAATGAAATTAGCCTGAAATCATTAGCTGCAAATTAGACATTCATTTAGGCTAATTCTACTTTCAGTGATGATCTGCTTCTTATAAAGATATATTTTTCAGGGCTCTAGATAGATAAATTCTTCTCTCTCTTTTTTTTTTTTTTTTTTTTTTTCCTCCAAAAGAGTAGACAATGTCATTTATTGCTACTTACGATTTTTATTGGTGATGTGTACATATTTCACACCAAAACTTTAACCAGAAAAGCTGGCTTTGTCTTCATACAGTAAGAACATTTTTTGGGAGGGGATAGTACGAAATGAGCATTCATTACTTTTAATGCTGTTCTGTGCTACTCCTTCAGCCTCATGTTTTTTTCATTCTTTCCTTTTTAAGTTTCGTATACTGAAACATATTTTAAATCACTTGGTAGAAGTCTGTAGATCAAAACTAGGGAAGGCAATTGGAATTATAAACAGATCTTAACACCATACTGTGTGCTATTCTAAAGCTCAGGATTTTCAGACTGTAATTGCATCCACCAGCTCCAACATCCGGAATGGAATTTGGAAAAGAAAACATTTAACACATTGGCTCACTGTTTTCCTTTAACAAAAGAGAAAGAGGCTCTCTGTTTGTGACTAAATACAAAATATATGAAGTCAAAACATTCCCGTTTAGCATTTCTCTATGGTTTGGAGACGATAGATACAATGACACCTGCTCACACACTTTATGGGTTGCAGTATGAATATCTGATAATGTTATCCTTCTTCAGTTGCACAAAAGATATTGGAGGAATGTGACTTTAAACCTCTTTTGGAAATATAATGCCACTAGGTTATTTGGTTGGTATAATTTTATGCAAAAGCAGTACAAGCTGAAAGAAGGCATTTTGTGTCCTTCTCATTGTTTGTACGTGGCTAGGGTTGACCTGGCTACTGCAGCAGCACTCCATACAGCAGTACTACTCATTCCCAAATACACCACTTAAAGGCATTGCTGGCTTTTAAATATCCTATAAATTGGTGTAGTTCTGTGTTCCCGTGGAATATCTGTGACTCCTTCCTGCTCTTGGTGTCTGAACAGACCTTTGTCTATGTGCCTGCTGTTTGATTGGGTTTGGGCATACACATTTCTGAGAAATAATTTGTCTTGAGAGACATTTCTAAGGTATATTATATCTTTAAGCTGTTATACAGTTGTGGTGTTTGAAAGCCAATGACTGTTGATGTCACTTGTAACACTATCAGATGAGAGCAAAGCACATAGTCCATGGGGAAACATTTTAAGTTTTGCTCCCTGCTACTTGACTTGAGCTGCAGATCTGCCACACTCTAGTGGGACAGAATGGTGTAATGTGAGGTGAGCACAAGGGCTAATTAAAGGAATAATTTTCCTCGTTTGGAGGCATAAAAAGGCTTATTATATTTCCTCTTTCCATTGCACTTCATGCAAGAGTCAAGTATGAATTATAAAAATTTCTAAACCTAAAAATGTTTAAGTTAAAGAGTTTTAACCCTGGAGTGACCCCACTCAGTTTTTATGCAGAGTAATATCCAATGGTAGTTTACTTGTTAATATACAGTGCTGCTCTTTATTAGTGAAAATTAGTGTTGGTTCTTAAGGGTCAACGTGATTGTTTGAAATATTTATCACAGATATTAATCGAACAATAGATTCCCTTATGATAGCAGATACACTCTGTGAAAGGATCCCAGTCCCATTGATGTCCATGACACAAAATGAACAGTTTTTGCTTTGTTGTTACCTTCAAGAAAGCACACTTTACTAAAGGGTTTTCCTGATTCACAATTACAAACCTTATGGTCAGTTCTTGACCTCTTACTAAAAAGTTTTTAAAAATATTTATAGTAGAATAATGTAGTCATTTCCTTAAGTTTACTTTCCTGAAAAGTATGAAGAATTTTTTCCCTCTGGGTGCTGGTATTATAAACTGCAGGTGTGATTCTGATTCTGTTAGGTATTTCCTGTACAGAGCATTTCATATCAAATATAATTCAAAGTGTAATGAACTTTCTAATATTGAATTTATAATCTTTCGTTAGTTTGCATAGAAACCTAAATTATGTTCAATAATTAATTTAACTGAATTGGCAAATTTATTATGTTAGAAGCCTGTATAATGCCTGTGTTGTAAAAAAGAATTTTCTAATCCCTGGAGTAAAATACCTGTTTTCCGCTCATGGCATATGGCTCTCCTTTTTGCAGGACTGTGTTTTGTGTTACACTGCACTAAAATTATCTGCATATGTACCTCTATGCTACTTGAAAACAGTATACATTCAATATTGTTTCATAGAGGAGAAAACGTTGAAATAAAACAGTGGTAAGGACCATTTAGATAAATTCAATACAACATGCAAAAGACCCGATGCAATGTGCAACCCCCAGGCTAGGTTTCATCTCAATTTTTGTGCAGTGAATATTTGGATTCAGATTAATGGTATCTTAAATTCTTGTTAACAAAAAAAACAAAACAAAACAAAAACCCACCACCACCACAAACAAAAAAATCAAAAAACCCCTCGCAAAAACTTGAGATATGTGTGCTTTCGGTAGCATACCAAAACTTCATATACCAACCTTGAGAATCTTACTCGTGGTCATTTTAAAAGTGGGGAATAGAAGAGAGACAGTAAAAGGAGATGTTGCTGGACAAAGAAAAATGCAAATAGGAAAGAGGAAGAAGAGGCAAAAAGTGTGTGTCAAAAAGTGTGACGGGAAAGGAAGAGATAGAAGGAGAAAATACAGTTGATCTGAAAAGGAGCAGAACATACCACCAAGCAATGTCAAATGTAGAGATATGGAAATGGATATAAATACTGGTTAAAGCAACTAGGAATTAATTCTTTCATAAGGACTACTTTCTGCCCTTTAATTTTTACTCATGCATGCCTATATCTAGGCTAGATTGTACTTAGGAATTTTCACCTCGGCCTTCATTCTACATTTGAGAAATCTCAGTTCATGTGACTTTGGAAGACATGCATCTGCGCCACTACTAGAAGAGAGTGTTACAATTTAATTATTGGAATTGTTTGTTACTAATTGTTACGGGTTGATGTGTCGATATCCATAGGCCCATTTTTTTTTCTTGCCCTTATGATATAACAGTTGCCAGCAGCAGTACCAAAGCAGTAGCTGTGAGGTATACTGGATTTTCCTTCATATTCCTGTAAATCTTGCTTTCAGGAACCCTTATCTATGCTCATGTGGTCCAATACAGAGCCAGCCGAAGCCTTGCTCCTTGCAGCTCGGTTTTGGAGCTGACCCTGATGTTAATCAACTAAAGGGATCCCTCTCACAGTGAAAATTTGTTCAGCAGCCTTGGGTACTTTGTGGCATGCTGGCAGTACATTTTCTCCTTTGAATACAATGTGATTTCAGGCTAAGCAAAAGCGGATTATCTCTTTTATATTTGATTTACAACTACTTGTAATACACACATGGAAGCTGGTTTTGGAAGTTTTGTTCTTAAATTGATGAAAACAAGGGCTAGCACTTGGTATTTCGTTATATATCCACTTACAATAATTTTGTTTCATCTCTTAGACTTTCAAGAGGGAGCTGAAAACAAAAGAACCTGTTATCAGGAGTGCGCTTGAGACTGTGCGAATCTTCGTAGCCGAGCAGCCTGTGGAGGGACTGGAGAAGCTCTACCCCGAACCAAGAGGTAATTGAAGAAAGTGCAGGGTCATAGCACATTGCTGGAAAGATGAGTGATGATCGGTGATGATTAAATAAATTCTGCCAGCCGCTGTGAAAGCATTCCTTTTACTCTCCGAGCTGAATGTCAGTATTCAGAAACTAAGCTAAAAATATAGATGAAAGAAACCCTTAGCCATCCTTCTGAGCACTGTGGCACTAAATAGACATGCGTCTAATAAGCAGATTTTGAAAGTGGCTTTAAACTTTCGGGACCTATCTATAACTACAGGCCCATTTGAGGTCCGAAAGCTGCAATTTAACCTAAAATTCAACTTGTAGTGTTAGTACTACAGAAGCTCCCAAATCCATTCAATTCCTACAAAAGATACAGAGTGATTAATATTTATGTATATGCAGAACTATTTTACTCAATCAGGACAGGGTTGATAAACTTCTGGCTGCGCCTTGCATGTTTTAAAATGCCTTTATGTACTTAAATGCATATTTTGGTAATCTGTATGGTGGCAGATTTAAATTTGCTAAGAGATTTTTCAAATGAGAATACAGTAATAAAATAAATTTCACAGGTGTCTTTGGTTATGAATAGTTTCTTACAGAGCTTTGAACTTACCCAGATGGCAATTATTTTTCTTCTAAGACAGAATATGCCTTAAAAGCCTCTTGACTTTCACATCTAGAGCTGTCACCTGAGGAAAGGGCCCACAATGTCAGTAAACTTCTCCAAAGGCAAGCAGATGATGTCAGAACTGAGTGGGATAAGCTGAATCTACAGTCTGCTGATTGGCAAAAGAAGATAGATGATGCTCTTGAAAGACTGCAGGGCCTTCAAGAGGCAATGGATGAACTGGACCTGAAACTACGCCAGGCTGAAGTGTTCAAGGGATCCTGGCAACCAGTGGGGGATCTGCTAATTGACTCTCTCCAGGATCACTTAGAAAAAGTCAAGGTATGTATCAGTATATCAGTATTTCTGAGTATAAAATTATTGGTGTGTTCATTGTATGAATCCCCAAATCAGGAATTATCTTTTAAAATGAGAAATTGATAACTTTGCATCATAGTGATTTATATTTAAAAAAAACCCAAACCAACATATAAAGACTTTTGTAATTTCTGCGGTTAAAATGGAATCGAATCAATATTGAGAACACATATTGCTAACGTGTGTAAAAAGCGCTACAGGAATGTGTAAATATCCTTAGCACACTCACTGTTAACTCAGGAGATGCAGAGTTAACAGTAAAGAAAACAAAATAGAATAGATAGGAGAATATATGATAAAAGTATAGAAAATTAAATCTATTCTTTATTATACTTTTGTAAGTATGATAAGTACTTAATTGTCTCTGTACTTGTAGAATAGAATTTAAATAATTTAAGTGTATGGTTTTGTTGTTCTTTTGTCATGATGGTAGTATTTGCTATCTGTCTTATGTGATAACTAGGCCTTATAACATAAGATAGTTAAAAAACCCAACTAACCAACCAAACAACAACCCTGGAAAAACTGTCATTATTTTCTATAACTTAATGCTTATCTCCTTTCGAGGGCTGTTTCATAAAATTGCTTACTGAGAAACTCATGAGGACTTGTCCTCTTTTGGCATGACTGCCATGGCCAGACTTTATAAATGCTACAGGATTCCTTCAGCTAGAGCACAATAGAGGCGGTTGGCATTGTGATAAGAACAAAGTGCCTCTGTTCCATTCACATAAGTGGGAATCATCAGTCATTTTGAAAGAGACCTGAGCTGGCTGTTATTTTCTCTAGCAGAACATTAGAATCTAAGAAAGAGGAAATAGAATGACTAATTGCAAGAAAAAATGCCTTTAAAAATTAACTATAGTCTATTTAAAAAAAAAGTCCATGAGTTTTGATCACACAGAAAGTTTAATGACTGTCCTGTACAAATATTATAGAAGACTAATGAAGTACTTGGTAGCTGATGAACAGTTAGCTGCAAAATTTGTTTATCTTCATTTAAATTCATAAATGAACAGATCTATTTATGAATTCTCAGAAAGTGCCTTTTATTATTGCCATGGATTTTTTTGTGATTTTGAAGAAGATATTCTGAACAGAAACACTGAATCCCTGATATTACTGGAAAACAAAGTAAGTCGTTTAATTCTAAAGCTGTGACCATAACTGTTGACTCCATAATTATAGTGCTGAATCCTGTTATGGTTGTTTTTTTTTTAAAAAAAATCTTTCCTAGAGGACCTAATGAAATTCTAATAACAGCCAGGACAAAATAGAAATCTTAACACTTATGAAAATCCAGAGATAGTATCAATCAGTAGATGTCTGTTTATTCCTTCTGAAGCCTTAATATTAGGGCAAGACAGAAACCAAGACTTCTGTTTCAAGATCTAAAATTAGACTCTACCACCTGCCCCTTGATTTTTATCTCGCATGTGCTGTGTTTACTTAAAATATTTATGAATATAGAGGATCATAAGACTATACCATAAGATTATCAGCTAAATGGTAAATGAAAAAACCAAAGAATATATCCTTATCCTTATAAGCTATAACTTTTCAATTCATATATGGCAATTATAGTCTGCCAGATGCACACAGAAGGTGCTAAAAGCACAGTATCACCATGTAAGTGATCATAATTAGCTGAGGTAATATAAAAACACAATAGGCCAAAAGCTGAATAATAGTAACTGTTTGAGTAGTACAATAATTGTCCCAAAATGCGCTGTCTAGAATGTATGTATTGCTCTAACGAAATGTAATGTCAACATAGATATTGAAGACGAATGTATGTACTAACTAGGCAATGTAAGCGTGTTTGTGAAGTTGGATAACTGCCAAGAAAGCTACAATTGTGTCTACAACTTGAAGGCCTATATAAAACTGTATGGTTTTAGGTTTTGTATGTTTTACCTCAGTTATTCGTATTTGACATTCATATTTTTTCTTAGAGTGAAATCTATTTTAGGGAGATTGTAAATCAAGACCAATAATTTATGTAACCCTAAAACAGAGTATGTAAATACTTTAAAATTTTTCAAGTTTGCATTTGCTACATGTGAACTGGCTAGACTACAGAAACTTTGATCTTGATCCTTTATATCCTTAGCATATCTACCTGAAGTGTACAAATATTTTAAATATATTCACAACCCTAGCCTTAATTGCTGGGTTAAATTTTTCAAAACCTAAAAAAGAGGGTTTAATGTAAATTTATTATCTGTGACAGGAGCAATAAGACATGATTTAAGCCCATTTTTATGTTGAACATATTTGTTGGATAGTAAGTTCATTTCTGATTTAGTCCCTGTCTTGATAAGTTTAGATGTAACCATTATGACTATCTCAATAATAATGATAAAATTTAGCCCATTCCCCCCCCCCCCCATTTTATTGTGTTTCATTTCCACATTCAAAGATGGAAGAGAAAGATTACATTTTGGCTACTTTTGTACAAGGAATTAAAGCAAATCTAGGCCTTTCTACAAAATGTAATGTGTATTTATTTACCTCATAAGACTTTAACAACTACATAAAATAAACTTGCAATATCAGTATTATATTCATAGTTACATTGTTTCTTTGAGAGGAAATTAGTTATGAAAACAATTGCTATTCTAATGCCTGAAAGTCTTAATAAGATTAAGAAAGCTAATAGGGGAACATTTACGAAAAAGAGTATGTAGAATTGACTGAAAGCATTAGCCAAGTGAGCAGCAGTGTCTACTTTGCGTGTGCTACAGAAATGAAGAACATCATTCCTAGTCTAAGTGGTGGTCCGGTGATGGGCAAGAGAGATTTCTGGTAGAGGGACAAGTGGAGGGAGGGGGAAGAAAGCTCCAACCTACTCAGCACTGAATTGATTCCTCCTACATCCCAGTTACCTCTTTCAGTCTAGAGGCCTCATCCTTAGCTCCAAAACCGCAGTAGTCCCCCAAAGTGCTGTATGCATATGGGAATGGAAAATTAATTAAAAGCTGTTATTTGATTCCTAATGTGCTACCTGTTTTAAGGGAGAGTACAAAATCTTTTTTACATAGAAATCATAAGAAGATGATGAGCAGGCAGAGAAGTGAAATCTTTTTAAATGAAGACTGTGCTTGATCAAACTGCTTGGAAACAGTAGCATAACTGAGATACAGAAACATTAATGTTGCTCTGCTAACAAAGAACAAACAAAAATGAATATTTTTTAATTAAATTTTTGTAAATCACAACTAGTGTGAGAAACAGCCTCTTGTAGACCATTTTGTGAAAGAACGAGCACCTGGGAAAGAGCTGCACCAGATTTCACCCAATCTGCACCAGATTTGTGTCAATTGTATTAGCACAATTATTAATAGAACAGATTAAGTATTTTCTTTTTTTATTAAGGACCTTTGGGCTAAATAATACTGTTAACTTTTCCCTGACAGTAAGTGCAGAAAAAAATCCTGAACTCTGAAGCAGAATAAAAGATGATGAGTAAAAAGTAGAAATCTTTTCTAACTCCAACCCAGTTTGGTAGAACATGCTATTATTAGACCAATAGATTTCATTTGAGCCAAATTTTCCCTTGTACGAACTCACCCTGCTGATTTCAGTGGGAGCTCAACGTCCACATCTGCAGGCTGAATTTGACTTTTTAAGTGTTGGTAATCTCTGATCTTGGTTTCTGATAGCCTGCTGAGCGAGCTGACTAATCCATGTATAAAGGCTTGTCTGTCATTTTATGCCTCTCAAGTTCAGAATTGAGGTCAGACCAGAGCGTTTTGAAGATACTGCTCTTTATCATTTTATCAGAAATAAGAATGGGACTTGAGCTTTTAGAAGGAGAACTAAACATTAATGTTTAAGTACCTAAGTGGCATGGTTTTTGCAGAGACTCTAGCATTTAACATGGCTTTTTGTTTTGTTTTAAGGTTACCATATAAAAACAGCACATACCGCTATTAGTCTTATGATCAAGTATTAACATGCCTGGACATGACATTAAATCAAAGATGTTCTTGAACTCTTGTGATTCTGTTCAAAAGTCTTCTTTCTCTAATAACCTGAAAATGTAAATATTTGTCCCAGGGGAAAAAGAAATACAATACGAGTAACACTTTTCTTTTTACCATGGGACCATTTTATTCAGGTCTTCCTAGGTGGGTGTGGCTCGAGGAGGTGGGTGGGGCTAAAGGGAGAAAAAGTATATCCAGGGAGTATTTATAACAGAAATCTGATCTTCTGTATGTAGTCTGCTATTGAAACATTTCTACGTAAAGTCAAAGGACATACCAGGAGTGACTATATCACCAGAGACGACTATGTTCAGTGAGACACGAGAGGAGGGAAAAGGGAGAAGGAGTGCTAGAAATGAATTTTAATGTTGTCTGCTTTCTGTGAGGAAGCAGTTTTTTCCATGAAGATAAATCTGCCTGTGTTACGTTTTCAATGAAATCTTTTCTTAAAACATTAACTCTCCTATTCCTGGGAATGTATTTTGGTGTTGTAACTATCAAGTGTGCAGATTCCGTAATGATAATGTTACTATGACATGGGCAAATCCATGAGCAAAATAAAATCAATTTATCAAGCTCATATGCTGGTACACAGTAATTATTTAGGGACTGCTTGAAGTAGGGAGTGCAGTGCATGTTAGATCGCCTGCGATGTTTATCAGCAACCTGTTGCGCTATACTTTTCTCATTTTAATCTTTATCTATTCAAATCCTAATAGAATTTTATTTCATTTTTTTGTCCAAGGTTAACCCATAATAAAACCGTATAATTGCTACTTAGCACTTTTATAGTGCTTCTCATGTTCCAGATAGTATGAGTTAATCCTTCTCAGCTTCGTTCCGAGACTGCAATAGAAGCAGTATTATGCCCAATTTACAAATAGGGCAATTGAATCAGTGAAACTAATTTGTCCAGACAGCAATGCCACTCAAATTATTTTTATTCCTTTTAGCTTTTACCTGCAAATCGTATTATTTTAGCGGGGTTCGATTATGCAGAGGATTAAGAATGCCAGTTCTCAT